CGCCCCCCCAGTAGGGCTTCAGAGTGCTCTGCATCTTCACAAGCTCCACTGATGGAAGTTCTTATCATTCAATTTCTTGTTCCCTCTTTTTAGAACTCAAAACTCTGACTTCTGAAATCCTGTGCTTTGTTTTTCTCCCGCAGTTTACACCAGCATGCAGTATACTACCTACTTAGTACTACAAGAATAATTACTAGGGCTCCCTGTAAGAATTGTGTTCCACATGTCCTGAAACCAGCTGTTTGGGAACTTCACTAAATCCAGTCCCAAGAGCTGGTGATGTTTGCTGTTTGGTATGGCATCTGAATGCATGGAGTGTTCTGTTCAATTTTGCCACTCTGGTTGGCATAAAAGCTTATTATAGTTAACAAATTGAAAGCCTTACGGATTTCTAAAACTTGAACCAAAAAGAGGTTGTGGTAGTGGCATTAAAAACCAACTCCAGTTTGGCTGAAATGTCATATATGGCTAGTTCAATCTGTACCATCCCCAGACCTAGGAAGAGAGGTCTCATAATCATTGTTATGAGTTTTTAAAATAAGTGTCCTTTTAAAGGTACGGTATGAGAAACTTCCCAAATTGATGTAGTGCGCAGAAAGTAGCTCCTGGACTAGGGTCATATGGGAGTAAGTCACCTAAACCCCCAAGTACCCTTTCCATCCTGGACAACGCATATTTGTACAGTTAAATAATCAACATCTTGTTGGTGTAAATGGCTGTAGCTTTTACTTCAGTAAGAGGAATTAACGTGTGAAGAACTTTTCCAGGGAACAAGACAGGATGGAAAGGTGTCCCAGCTGCATCCTAGCAAGGAGAGCCCAGTTATTAAGTTAACAACCCAATGAGCATGTTTCCGTAGGGCAGAGTGGGGCAGGATTCTTGGCAGCATTGGAAGACCATTGAATTCAATGCAGAGACTGTCATTCAGATGAGTGGAGTGGGGGATATAAATCTTGTCCCTCCTCTCCTTGCAAAAGAAAGTCTCCCAGGGCTCATTACCTCTCTACTCTAGCAGAGAATATTTGGGGCTTAAGGTATATTCACCTGCCACCATCTTGCCACCCCATCTGGAACCATTAAAGGAGTGGATACAGAAGTGATGGGGAGTGCAGAATAGTGCTAGCCCCACCCAAGTGTAGGCCGCCTGTAATTTCTAGTTTTTGATGGCTGCTCCAAACGGCTGTCCCATTTTTTTGCCAAATCTGAAATCCACCGGTTCCATCCCCAAACATAGACCTTTCTCTCCTTGCAGATGATCAGCAGAGGGACCAAACGCATTTGAAGTAAGTTCTGAACAGCTGAAATGGATTTCACTGTGCAGAGGCCAAACAGTTCCAAAATGAAGAGTGCCACTTGCAACTTCAGGACGTCATCAACACCTGCCCTGTCTTAGTAGTTTTCTTGGCAAGGGATACATGCATCTTCTGAACTTGATGGTGGCATAGGGGTATTAGCAGCACCTGTTAAGGTCCAGTCCATTGCAACATCGTGCAGTTCTTTTTCCGGGGCCCAAGGGCGATGCGAGGCATAATCTCCAGGTTTCAGGTTTCAGGATACAGCGTGCTGCTGAGGAAGGCGACAGACACAACTTTAGCCTGAATAAAAATAGGCCAAAATGGTTTGATTAAATGCAATGTTTCCCCACTCCCAAGGGGAACCTAAGGGACATGCTATGCCAGACAGACAGGCAGGCAGATTGCACAGAGCGAAGATAGACAGGAATTGTTTACTTCTAAAATTGACTTGGCAATCCTCTTCTCTGGGAATGTAGATGTAAGACAGCTCACTGACATTTTTAAAAACTTGCTTTAATTTTAAAATAATGAAGATGTTGGCTGAGCGCTGAGTGTATTTGAAAAATGATCTCCATGCCAATGATAATCTGCTTGCGTCCTAGGAATAGTCACAAAAAAGCAAAATACGAATATTCATGAGCTTTCTGCAAGCTCATGCTGATGATTATCATGTTGTAATCCTCTCAGATATCCTTGCACTCAGTAAGATTGGGTTGAATGATTATCCTGATATTGCAGATGATAGGTTCACTATGTAGGCCATCTAAGGCTTTCATGGAACTCTGTTTCTTAACTGTCACAACATACCCACAATCTGAGATCTTCGTCAGAGTCAAATTGTCTTTTGTGGGTCAAAGTTCATATGACTTTGAATGATAAGCGATGTTGTCTTTTTATATTTGAATCATGTTGTTTGCATAATGCATTTCAGTGATTACCTGGACAAATGGGTTGTTAACTTGGTCTTAGTTTCAGATCTCATCTTTTCCATAGCATCAGGTTATCAGAAGAACATGTTTTATGGCATGTAATAATACCATCCACATTACTCATATTGGGCAGACTCTTTACTCAGGAAGTAAGCATAAATAGGTAGTCTAATTTTGTCTCTCTAGGAAATGTGAGAACTTCATGGAATTAATTGTATTTTTAAAGTATTAGGAAAATGGAAACCACTAGCTTATATTCCTTTCCCATAAGATCATACAGTCTGATATAACTAGGTATTTCCGAACAGGAAGACTGTCATTGGTGTCCCTGTTCAGAATGGTGTAGATTGCGGGTTAGGATAAGTTGTGTCTGAAGAATCAGAGTGTGTTTGGTCCCTCTGCTCTGAAAAGGTTTTATGAAGGATTGGACTCAGTTGTAGAAACTTTTAGTGCAGTCTATTGCAAATCAGGTGAGTATGTACGGATTATAGCTTTCAAAGGTCAGATTCATAGCACTCATTTGTTTTATAATACAAAAGTACCATATATATTGATGATGGTTGAAAACTCCTCTGTTTAAAAGAGTGAGACAGCACATGTTTTATACCAGTGCTTGGGCACGGTAACTGGGTGGATGAGGCAGATAAACTATAATTTAGTCCTGTTAATGAGTTGTTTGTTTGCTAACTAAGTGATATGCATGTTCCAAAGGAAACTTCTCCTCCTCCTGAAGTTGTGTGCAGTTGGATCTTGTATTGTCAGGGGAGACACAAATAATGTATCTGATTCAATCTGTTTTTTTTTTTTTTTAATAATTAGGTTTTTTGGCAAGAGACAGTTTTGTTTGACCTGTTAGAACCACCTAGTTAGATTGTGCAATGTATTGCGTGTAAGGTTGTCTTTGAAAATGTTGCAGAAACTTCACTTAATGCTAGAAGATGATTAACTAGTATTAGACAATCTTTTCTGCAGCATTTTGCCATCTGTACCGGCCTCCTGACCATTTCCATACCCAATTTAAAAAGATGGTATTACATGTTTTCTTGTAATTTATTACTCAGCCATACCTTACCGTTCAAAGAGCCTCTGGGGAGATTCTTCAGGATTAGAACTCAGCAATGAGATGTGTGGTTTTCTCTAATTTCTTTTCAAGACCAAAATGATGGATGTTTGTTGGCCTCTTATCAGAAAATAAGCATTCCTACTGGCCGCCTAGTCATTGCTATATTAATATATAGATTAAGGTTAGACTAATCAGGAAAAGAACTCTGTGATATAAATGGTTCAGGAGGAGATTTTTCTTTTCATATTAGCTTTGTTCTAAATATTTAGAATTTCTAAGAAAATTGGAAAAAACCAGTTGTATGTCCTGACCAATTGAGCAGAAAAGTACTAGGAGATTTTTATCATTGATTAGGCTATTTTGAATCTTTAAGGAACATTCATTGCATATTTTTGTCTAGGCTTTTGAAATCCACACATCTTCAAGTGGCTGAGGTTGGGAAACACTGGTCTAGGCTGACCTTAAACTTCACTTAAAGCACTCTGTAACTTTAAGATGTATGGATTTCAGTTCCCAGAATTCCCCAAGCCAGCATATAGAGAAACAGAAAGGAAGAGCTGGAGTAATTATTACAATAGATTGGCACGAACTAAACACATGTAATTATAGTCCTGTTTTGCATAAGATTAAAACAGTACTTAAGTAACAGCAACATCTACTCATTATCATTGCTGGATAGAAAGGCTACATTTTAACATTCTGTTTTTCCTAAAATTCTATTTTTATTTTAAATATTCTGTGGAATATCATTAGAGTTTTGGCAACATTTTTTCTACATTTATATATAATTATAGACTGCTGTACCGTA